GAGTGGTTGTTTTTACTGAAGAAGCTTAAAGATGCTAATGTAGTTGCTGGAAGACTCTGCATTTCCTACCAAGGCTGATGATAGCACTGCTGCCCCATCTGCTGATTCTGCACTGGCTGGCTCATCAATGGCAAATGCACCTTCTCAAATTGCAAGTTCCACAGGTGGCTGAACTGGTGGTGCTTCTAGTTCACTGGACTCTGGACCTTCAACTCCAGCTGCTTCATTGGACAGAACTGCTGAGGCTCGCCTAAACGAGCTGCTGTGACAGCAGCAGAAGCTGCCTGGAAAGTGGCACAGACATTCAATCTTCCTCTGCCTGTGTATTGTCAGCAGACTGCTTCAACAAATTCTCTGGAGTGCCGCAAGCCACACCAGCAGCAGCAGTTCCAAATCAGCCCAGCAATCCTCCAATTGACATGAAAAAAGCCAGTGCTTCTGAGCAGGCTGCAGAAAAACAAATCCCAGAACAACCCAGCAATCAGCCTTTTCCAAGACGTCTCTTCAGAGTCAGTTGCAGAATATCAAGTCGCACATCAGCAACTCCCTGCGAAAAGGCATAGGTGTGCCCAGCACTTTGATACCTGAAGAAATGGTACAATGATGGATTTGACGACTGTGAATTTGCAGCTTTGGCTTCAGTCAGGGAGGATTTGGAAAAAACAGTGCAGCAGCAGAAAGGAAGAAGGATCAGTTGGATGGAGAAGATGCTTTATCAATCACGTCGATGACCAAAAGAGCAGCTGAGTTTCCATCAATTGAAGCTGAGCTGGAAGATGATGAGGAATCTTGTTGGAGAACTTCTTCCCTGGGCCAGGACGTCGCTTGGCAGTCCTTCACCCTAAAGAGTCGGACCCAGACACTTATGACATTGCTTCAGCGCGCCTCCTTGAATTGATTAGTGACAATTCTGGCGAACATCTTTTGGTGAGGCAAGACGAAACGACCTGGATGATCAAGTCAGATATTCTCACTGAGTTTTCTTGTATATGCAACAATTCATCTGAGATGTGGGAGCAAGGCTTTGTTGTTATCAATTCCATGTGTTCCAAGAATCTATTTTGCGTATTGTTCAGAAGAAAGACTGCCTCAAATTTAAGGATGTTTGGGCCACTTTCTAAAGAGTAAGGCGCCACAAGCTCGATATTCTGCCTGCCCTTGGCATACACATACTGCCTGGGAAAGGTGTTGGGGATTGAAACAAGAGACAAGAAAAAATGGTGGTGCGAGCTCCCATTTTCCAAGAATGGGAGCTGGCGCACCCACCTCAAGATGATCAGAGGGTGGATATTGAAAAGGAGACAATCAACTTTATTCTTTGCTCTGATGGAAAGATGCTTCATTCACTATGAACAATGACGTTTCTTGGCTTCTCCTCCACTCCCAAGACCTGGCACAACCAGTTTTGACTTGTCCAATCACACCTTTCACAAGCTTAATGTCGATAACAACCGTTTCCCCACCTTCTGAAATCACTGGCAAGTGAAGTTTAGTCATGAGTTCTGACTGCAAATGAATTACAGCAACCATCACAGTCTCCATGCCTTCTGAATTCACGTCCTGTCAGCTGATTGTCATGATAGAGAGAAGCCATCCGTAGCGTGTGAATGGCTTCATTTCAGGAGCAGCAATTTTGCGATGGGATTGATTGTGGATAAGTTCAACATTCTGTGTGGAAAGTAGTCAACAACAAACCATAGAGGAGTGCCCAATTACAAACGAAAACAGACCTTGAGATAACTGGAGTCTTGATGATGTCTGCTATCCAGGTAACCAGCACAGGCCAGAGTCTGCAGCTTATCAACCAGTGCAACCTTGGATCAATTTCACAACCACCTCCTCCCAATTTTGTCTCCACAATAGCTACTGTTGTTTTCCACAGTTTTGCTACTACTCTTTTGGTCACCTTCAGCAGGTGTTCAGAGATACTAAAATTGGCCTTGACAAACACAGTATAGTTTTCATCTTTCAGGAATCCTGTTCGAAGATATCACAGTCAAGATTGCATCTCACATCCAGGCAGCGTCATATTCTCTTTTGGTTTTGCATGGAAGGGAGCAGACGGTTTGGTCACTGATGTTAAAGTATTTTCAATTTGCCGCAGGCAAGCATGCTGGAATAGGTGATTATTCATTCTAACAAACAGAAGCCAATTGGCAACAGCTTGCAGTCTGCCAACGTCTTCCACAGCGTCGCCCAGCGCCTCCGCTTTGGGGCGGCGCCTTGATTGGCCGTGGCAAGAGCAGCGTGGGTGGTTGGGCTTTTGGAGGGTCTCGCCAAATACGTAGTCACAGAGCGGTGCGGGGTGGCAGTGGAAAAAGCAGTAAGCAACAACTGACGGCAACCTGTGGTGGTTGGCATTCAGGGCTCACATCGCTTGTCATCGGTGAGCAGCCTCAGGCAAGAGTATTACATATCAAAGTTTCACGCGGTTCGATTTGTTTCCGTGGAGCAACTGCAACAACGGAAACGTCGACATCGGTTTTCCTCCCTCTGGTGGCGGGCTGAACAGTTGCACCAGGGCTCTATGAAACGAATTGGACTTCCGGCGCAATTGCGTTTACTTTAGAGGCGCTGGCGCATGCCAGTGACCCACCATGTTCTTGTTCTGCGGCGTACATGTAACCCCAATCGCCCCTGCACGAAGTGGAACTAGAACAAGGAGAGAAAAGAAGCAGCAGCTGAAGATAGCAAGCTCTTGTTACAGCTATTGTGGTGCAACAGTCATGAGTCATCCACTCCACTACACGCCTCCGAACACCTTCGACACATGAAACTGCGCTTCACGGTGCGTCCTCAGCCCGCAAGGAGAGCGGCAGCGAGCGGCACAAGGCATCCGGGGGAGCGGTTATACGAGCCATTGCCAATCTCTGCCGTGGCCAGCATCATGTTTTCGCCGCCCCGCACCGTCCTGTCCAGCTTGCGTTCCCACACTTGATTGCCTGTTTCCGCGTCGAGGCAGTGGATATGCCGATGCCCCCCAACGTACACGACCCCGTCGCCGCACAGCACCGCCGCGTAGCCGACGCCAGCTAAAAACCCCTCAAAGCGGTGAGCCCACTGCACTGCCCCCGTCCACGCGTCCACTCGGTACACCACCGCGTCCAGGCTCACAAACACTGCCGGTCCTCGGTGTTGATATAGGCGGTGATCTGGAGGAGTCTTGGCGTCGAGGCTCTGTGCCGTCGTAGTCATCACTACGGCAGCGGCAGCTCGGTGCGTGCCGAGGATGACGACGTTGGGCGGGCTGTCGCCGACAGATGCAAGCGTTCGTGCCCAGCGCACTGCACCACCGCCGTGGCCGCCGTTGCCGCCGGCGCCGTTCTCGTCCAAGAGCGCCACTGTCTGCCCACACCACGTCAGCAGCATCGACCGCGTCGGCCGCGGCTTGTCGGATGATGGTGCTGCCATCGCCGCCGGCGCCATTGGGTCGGCCACGGGAATGGCCCCCGTTGGCTGAAGCACATCGCAAAGCTCGCCGCGCGCCACCGGCGGCAGCCGCACCGCAGCCGCCGCGTCCTGCCCCGTCGTGCGGTTCAGCCGCAGCACCGCGCGCCACGCACCTGCATAGAGGGGTGAGGCAGACGCAGATGCAGCCGCAGCCGCAGCCGACATACCACCACCACCACGAGCAACACCGCCACCGCCATCAATACCGACCAGAGGCATCGCCGCCAACACCACCTGCATCTTCGCCGCCAGACTGCGGCCGCCGCCGAACACAGCGACGCTCCACCGCTCCACCCCAGTCCTCGCGTCCAACGCGACCACAACCCCGGCCCCGCCCACATACACCGTACCACCCCACCTCCCTCCACGTGCTCCCCCTCACCGTCAACCACCAGGAAAGGCCGTTGCCCCAGCCGCGCGCCGCGAACATTCCACAACTCTGCACCGTCCACCAGCCGCAGCGCCGTCACACAGTACTCGGCCGCGATGATCACGAGTCCGGCCTCCGCTGCCGCTGACGTCGTCGCCGGCGGCATGATCCACCGATTTGAAGCCACGGTCGGCCGCCGGCAGCCGTCGGACAGCCGAGCGCCGCCGGACCACCGCACGCGGCCCGTCGCGGCGTCCAGCCCCGTCGCATGCTCGCCGGCCACGACGACCAGCACCAGGCCGTCCGCGACGGCCTCCAGCGCCGTCGCGTAGTTGCCTTTTTTGGTGCTTGTGGGCACGGTGGCGCGCCAGACGGTGGAGCCGCGGAGTCGTTTGGAGAGCGCGAGCACGGTGCCGCTCTCGACGCCAGGTTGCAAAGAGGAGGTCGGCGATGGGGGTGACGGGGGCGTCAGCGGCGGCGGAGGCGGCGGAGGCGGCGGAAGGGGCGGAGGGCGAGTATGGCGGCGGCGAGGTCGGCGAGGGGGGCGATCGCGGCGGGTGGCTCATTTGCTGAAGTTTTGATTTGTTTTCTTGGCTGCTTCCTTTTTTGGCTGCACCTCAAAAAAGCTCAGATGCCTGACAGAAATGTCCTTTCCCTCGCTTCGAATTGACCGCCCTTGTGCTGGCGAACTGCTAAATCACTTTGTTAGTACCCTTCACCTTTCTTTTTTTATAATCAAATATATTTAGTTGAAGTGCGAACAGGTCGTGGTACCCACACTACGAAATGTCTCGCACTCTAACACAGCGCAGAACCAAGCGCCCTCATTGTCATTCCAAAACTGGATAATCTTTGGCCGCTGGGTGTTCTTTGCAACAAATCTACGTAAAATGAAAAAATCAACTTAAGCTTACGCCCCAACAGGCGTTTGGCAAGTGAAACGCACTTACTGGCAGGGAAGCTGAAGAACGGGGGGGCGGAGGCGGTTGTAGTCGTCAACGCGGATGCATGGTGGGTTGCATGCGGCATCGTGAACGAGTTGATGATCAAGGAAGGAAACACGGGTTCAGTGCCTCCACTGCATTAATCAAGAAAGGGGAATTTGAGACCCATCCCGACAACGCATTTTACGGAAGGCCTTCAAATTATAATTATGAAAAAGGGTATTTTCGTCTGCGAGCGCCCCTACGACGATTTGAACGCCGATCTTCGCCGAGATTGTTTTGAAAATTTCAAAGCATGTGCGATGTCCTAGCCATTGGACGACAGGGGCTTGACGAAGGTCATGCAGTTGCACTTTCTCACAATGACTGCGCCAGGCGGCGCAGTCACGTTTAAAGAAATTTGAAGAAATTTGAAAAATGTTTGTGCTGCTGTGCTGTTTCCTTTTTCCGTCGCAAGTACGGCGTTGGTTGCATTAAGGGTTACCTCGAATTCCAAAGGATATATGAGGAAATTCCGGTCTGTTTTGTAAAACGTATTGATGAACGGGCCGGAGGAACGCGCGGGTTCGGCTCGCCGGAGTTCGAACCAAACTGCTTTGCTTGTACGTGTTTTTTATTTTAATTTTATTTATTATTATTTTTTTTCATTTGCTTGACCGTCGTCTGGTGTTCAACGTGAGCCGCCAGGGTTAGCGAAAAAGAAATTTCAAAGCAATGGGGGTTGGTGCTGGAAAATCTGGACAAGTTCTCGTCTCGTTTCGGACGCGATCGGTGTGGCAAAAAACCTTCCACTCATTCAGGCGAACGCAATACCAACCAGGACTGATGGTTTTGTTCGTCTTGAACAGGAAAAGCAATACGCGACATATATATATAACCCTTCCAACCGACCCCCACCCCCCTAGACCCCCCTTCGACACTCGCGCACTCACGCACATACACATACACACTCCTGAATCAAAATCAGAACTCCTTTTTCGTATTACGGCGGCTAGCAAGATGAGCGAAGGATTTCAGCACATGCTCGTTGCCGCGCGTCGTCTCGTGCGACCGCAGCACGCACGATCCAGCCTTCGCATCCTACTCCTGTCCGTCCTCTTGCTCGCCGCCGTCGGGTTCTCAGCACTGGGTTACCGACATCTTTCGCCAAAGCAGAGCAGCCACCGGTTCGCGACCGCCGCAGGCCGTCGTTGAGCCCAATCCCACTCTTGCGCGCTGATTCCACGCAGGCCAAATCGACGACGCCCGCCGAGCACCAAGCCCACGACCGCTTCGCCCAGTCTTTCTTCTGTTCCAACTTCTACCCGCTGCCAACTTCCAATACGACTCTGCGATATGTCTCGCTTAACATCGACGGCCTTCCACCCAAACAAGTTCCGCCGCCCCACCGCCCCGCCGCCGCCGCGTCCGGCGACGTCGGTTTGTTCGTCGTCGGTGGAGGCCAGGACTTTGTATCGAACTCGATCGCCGGGTCCGTCGGGACCACGCCGTCCCACTCTCGTGATTACCACTTGTAGACGGAATCGTTTACTGGCAACCAACAGTCACGCCGCCTCGCCCAACCAGACGCCCAGCCCGATCCCCCCGCCCATCCCTCCGCTTGGCGAGCACTCTCTCTCTCTCTCTCTCTCTCTCTCTCTCTCTCTCTCTCTCTCTCTCTCTCTCTCTTCTCACTGCACTCCAGCCAATCTTCAAAAGAGTTGCCAGTTGAGTCCCTCAAAGCGCAGCAGTAGTGCTGCACTTTTGTCACACCTCAGCTGGTGCAGACTAAGCCATTTGGTTGGCACTGCACGTGGCTCAGCCCACGCAGCTGGCTTGGTCTCCGTGCACCGTCCTCACCCGACTACCGTCCATTTCAGACGGTCGATCGTAACCCTCGCGGCAGCAGACAACAGCAGAAGTGGCAGTACTGGCGATCGCGAGCCCCGCTGCTGGTCAGAGCCGCCATAGTGGGACGGCTGGTTGCACATCCACACGGATGAGCTGCTGCGCAGCTTTGCATGTGAGATAGCTGAAAGAATCTTGTTTGAGGACGATCCAGCTATGAAAGATTGCTTGCAGCGGCTCCTTGCTTTGAAGGAAGGCCACAGCGACGGGACGGCGGTTGGTCGAGGAGAGACTTAAGGCGGACGAAGGAGAAGCGACAAATCCGAGACCTTTTGTTTCATTAAAAGCCACGGACCCATCCGCGTCTCGAGAGACTCGAAATAACTTCACGGAGAAGTACTAGAGTTTCACGAAAGGTAAGGTGATGGAACGGGATCCGATTGAAGTGTCATCCGACCAACTGGTTCTGAAAAGTGGACTTCTTTCCAAGCTCTGACCAAGGCAAAGGTGTAAAGTGAGTGAAATGGTCGCATTTAACTCGTGGATTAATCCTCTCCATCGTATTCTTCAGAAAACAGAGTCCCCATCACGGCGGAGTGGTTCTCCCGTATTTGGGAGGCTGTGCTTCGGGTCTACTTCCACGCAATCTACGCTGCCGACGTGGTCTTCAACAAGCTCAACTTTCTCGTATTAAGCTTCGTCGGTTTCTGCTTCGAACGCCATCTCCGTCCGACTAGGAACGGGAAAAGTCAGGCCTCGACTTTATTAAACACAGAATTGGCGGCAGCATGGACACTTCGAGGGGTATGTGTGAAGAGGAAAAGGATGTGGGAGGTAGTGAAGATGGGGAGAACGTCGCAGAAGAACGCGGTTTCGGCGACATTGCTCAGTCAGTTTCGGCGACATCGGATGGATTGTGATTATACTTTATTTCTGCGAGGTGTGACGGTAGGTTCTTTCGCAAATCGCGTGGTTTATTCGCAGCAATGTACAGTACTAGTAAAGGACTGAAGAACAAGATCGCACCACCGGTCTCCACCTTCAGGGAAAGTCCAAGAGAACGTTCGTGATTAGGGGCCGGGCCACTCTTTGCGGCGTTGTTCCACGACAGAACTTGACTTCGCCACCACCAGCGGGAGATGCTTATGGGAGAGTAGACCGAAGACAGTCAGCCTCTCAGTATTTACGTTGGCACCCAAACCGTGTGAAGACAGTCGAGACCCGAGAGGGCCCAAGGCCAAGGCGAAAAAATAACAAAAAAAAAAAAAAAAACGCTCAGCATGTGGACGATCAGCAGCCTAATCCCACCCAACCCCCCCCACCGCCACCGCCACCACCACCACCACCACCGCCGCCACCGCATCGGCAGCAGCACCAGCAGCAGCAGCCGCAGCCGCCGAAGATACAGCCGCCGGTGCAATCGTTCGGCTGTCGTCCAGCCTTCGACATCGGTATGACCACCACCGAGCCCACGTCGTCGTCCGCTGCCGCCCTACGTGTACGTGCACGCCCGCATGGACGCGCAGGCCTTCCCCGTCCGCACCGCCACAGTCTTCCACGCCGCCAACCGCGCTCAAGTCGGCCGCTCCATCCCCGTCTGCCTCAAGGCCGGCCGCAACACCGTCGTCGTCGACCGACTCCCGTCATGCGTCGTCGCCGGCACACTCCGCGTCGCCTTGCTCGGAGCAGAGATCCCGGACGGCATGTCCCTTCTGACCGTCGACTTTAAGGTCTGCGAGGACCTCGCCGCGGACGTCAAGAAGCTCGAGCGGCGCCGCCGGAGCAAGGACGACGAGCTGGCCGGCCTGCGCCGCCAGATCGAGCTGCTCGACGAATGGTCGGCGAAAAGCGCGCCGGCGGACGCCAGTGCCGCCGCGCCCGGGAAGCTTCTGGAAACCTATGCGGGGCGCAGGCGTGCGATCCGAGACGCGATGGACGGCTTAGAGGACGAGATTGAGAAGATTGTAGACGAGATTGCAAAGACGCGCGAGAGGGCGGCTCGCTCGACGGGCGAGGTGGTGTCTGAGAAGCTGAGGGGCTCCGCGACGATCGTCGTTGTGTCCGCCGAAGACGTTGACGTGGAGCTTGACCTTTTGTACGTGGTCGAGAACGCCCAGTGGTCGCCGGTTTACGACCTGCGTTTGAGTATCGCGGAGGACTCGGCCCGCGGAAGCGACAAGAGCCAGGTCGTGGTGCACTACCAAGCGTCGGTGTCGCAAACGACGGGAGAAGATTGGGACAACGTGGCGCTGACCTTGAGCGCCGGGAAACCGCATTTCGGCGTGCCGGAGCTCCGCAAGATTACCACCGCTGGCAATTACGTAAACAGAGCGTATGACCCTCGTTTTAGCAAATCGTACAGCGCTTCGAACCGTCAATCTGTTGGCTTTGGTCCAGACGCGGATGCCGAGCGATTGCGGTTTCTCCGACCTTTGACCACTTCGGACTGGACTGCTCTTCGTTCAAGATTTGATATTGCAGCTCCATCAACGGTTCCCTCTGGCGGAGACTCCACCAACGACACGATGGTGTTCATTGCAGAGCTAGTCGTGAAGAGCATCGATTTGAAGTGGATCGTCGTGCCAAAGGAGGATCCAGCTGCCTATATAGAGGTTGGTGAATGCATGAGAAACGTGCTCGCATTTTTACTGATTCTGGCTTGCACAAAACTCTCCCTCGAAAAAAAAAAATGCAGTGCAAGATCACAAACTCGACACCGTGCGTTCTCCTTCCAGGTCCCGCCTTACATTTCGTCAACAACTCCTTCGTGGCCAACTCCACGCTCCCTCGCGTCCACCCGCGCGAATCCTTCACCGCCACCTTCGGCCCCGACGCGTCCGTCCAAGCGACCTTCTCCACCCTCTTCCAAAAGCGCGTGCCCGCCGTCAACGGCACCCTCACCTTCTTCCGCCGGCGCATCGCGGTCCACAACGCGCGCCCGTCGTCCCTTCCCCGCCTCGTCGTCCGCGACCAAGTCCCCGTCGCCCCCGCCGGCGACGAAGCAAAGGTCGCGGTGCTGGCCCCCGCGAACTTGCCCGTCGCCGAGGACAGCTTCATGGGCGTGGCGGTGCGCGACGGCGTGCGCGCGCGGTACGTGCAGAAGAACGAGGACGAGAGGTTGGAGGGCGTGAAGGGCGACGGCTCGGTCGAGTGGGTGTGCGAGGGTGTCGCGGCGCGGGGCGCGGTGGAGGTCAGCTTGGTGTGGGAGGTCAGCGCGCCGACGGGGTACAGATGGACGATGACTGAGGCGGAGGAGGGGGCGCCTGATAGGTTTGTTTCGTCGGCGGGTGGGAGCTCTGGTAGTGTCACGTCGTCGATCACGGGGTTGTGGTGATTGAGAGTGACACAGTGCCCGTCTGGAGCCTTGACCGAGCAAAATAAAGTTGAAGTGTTGCTCTGGGACGCTAGCAGGCCAGTCCTTGCTGTGGCTCAAACAAAATAACTTCAAAAGGGATCGGTTACGACCACTGCTCTGTGCACGCAAGCTCGTGCGTCGACGTTG